CAGTGAGTAAAATAACAAAAGGCGGCATGCAGATCGTTGGAAGGAAACCGGTACAAGAGCGGATAGGGTGAAGCAGAACAAAGTGAAACTGTTACAGCCGCGCCCAGCAACCATTGCCCTTGTCAAATTGTCCAATCGCGGGTGTAGACCCCAAGCCTTCGTCAGGCCTAAACCAACGGGATCTGGAATAGAAAGGCGTACATCGGTAGTCTGGGTTGCAGCCCAGCTGAGAAGGGATTAGGGCAGGGAATAGCAGGAAGCAAACGACCAATTCAAATCAAGCAGGATGTTTAGGTCATAATACTGGTAAAAGGATGTTGTCAAAATGTCTAGTTCTACAGGAGCAAATGGAGGTGGATACCCGTAATAGTAGAACATCAGTTGATAGAGTACACACTGCTACCTGGTAAGCATGTGCCACGGAATTAAGCCAATTGAGTCGGATGAAAACGGAATGAGATATATATATATATATAAAGGAAGGAAAGATGGTCACAAAACTCATAAAAGTACTTATAAAAGCAGAAGGTCACTCGAAGTTAGTGCCAGTCCTTACAGATCGTCGCTGGTGACGGGTACAAGCGGTCGGTTGTTGAGTATCCTTTCCGCCTCTACCAGAGTCGCTGGTGACGGGTACAAGCGGTCGATTGTTGAGTATCCTTTCCGCCTCTACCAGAAATCTAAAGTTTCATCATCCGGCGCCTGTTGTTCACATAACGCCGTCAATATTTTTCGCACCGAAATGTTGTTCACATAACGCCGTCAATATTTTTCGCACCGACCGTATAAGCCGTTCCCAAACGCCTTTCCGCCTCTACCAGAAATGTGCTCAAAGTTTCATCATCCGGCGCCTGTTGTTGACATAACGCCGTCAATATTTTTGGCACCGACCGTATAAGCCGCTCCCAAACTCCTCCGCGGTGACTGTTGCAAGGTGGGTTGAAGTGCCATTGGGTTCCAGATGGTGACAGTCGGTCTTGCACGGCGCGTTTGTCTAACCGCATCAACTAGTCGCTCAACTCCTTTTGTGCACCCACGAAATTGGACCCGTTGTCGGATAACACATTCGATGGATTACCTCGTCTACCCACGAATCTCTGCCAGGCCATAAGAAAGGAGCGACGACATGCTGTGCACGGTCTCTATATGCAAAGCTCGTGACTGCAGGCAGGTCATCAGGTCTGTGCGCGGTCTATATATGCAAAGCTCGTGACTGCAGGCAGGTCATCAGCCCTTCGTATCGTTTCTCCATCGACGTCTTTTGTTTCACTCATAGTAACCCGAAGTAGTCCACCCCAGTTTCGGCGAAGGGCCACCAACCTGGTCGTACTCGGGAGCTGGATAACGAGGCCATCAATTGTTTGCTGAATGTAGCATTCTGGCGACGACAAAAGAGACAGTTGCCCACGATACGCTTCACCGTAGCTTTCCCTTTCACCATCCAAAACCGACGGCGAATCGTAGTGAGCAGGTGATTTTTCCCGGCATGACCTTCCTGCGTGTGAATATGTATGATGAGTGTGTGTGATTTGGTGGTTGTTGGGCAAGATGATGGGGTTCTTAGCTTCAAA